TAGATGGAGATGATCTCTCACGCTACTGGGTAAAGGTTTTTGTTGGCTAGATGGAGAAGATCTCTCACGCTACTGGGTAAAGGTTTTTGTTGGTTAGATAGAGATGATCTCTCACGCTACTGGGTAAAGGTTTGTGTTGGTTAGATAGAGATGATCTCTCACGCTAGTGGGTGAAGGTTTGTGTTGGTTAGATAGAGATGATCTCTCACGCTAGGGGGTGAAGGTTTTTGTTGGTTAGGTAGAGATGATCTCTCACGCTAGGGGGTGAAGGTTTTTGTTGGTTAGATGGAGATGATCTCTCACGCTAGTGGGTGAAGGTTTGTGTTGGTTAGATAGAGATGATCTCTCACGCTACTGGGTGAAGGTTTTTGTTGGTTAGATAGAGATGATCTCTCACGCTAGGGGGTGAAGGTTTTCTTCTTCTCTCAAACCCGACACTTCCTTCCACATAATAGATTTCATTTTCTTCAGATTTTTTTCCGAGGAGTTTTGGGATCTCTGCATTTTAGATTTTCAAACGTTAAGAAGACATAACATGGATTCAATCAAGTAAAAGATGAGTAACCTACAACAATGGAACCCTTTCCCCGGGACTCGTGATTAGCAGGATTGCAATCTGATGCAAAAAAAATCACGTCTACTATTTTAGCTTGATGTTCCCGAACCCGAGTACTGAAGTCAACTTGGCTAACCTCAGCGCTAAAATATACCGGTAGTGTTGGGCTAAAGTTAAAACGAAATCTAAAACTAAAGCTAAAACTAAAGCTAAAACTAAAGCTAAAACTAAAGCTAAAACTAAAGGTAAAATTAAAGCTAAAACTAAAGTTAAAATTAAAGCTAAAACTTGAGTTAAAATTAAAGATCAAGCTAAAGTTAAAGCTAAAACTATGACTAAAACTAAAGTTTAAACTAAAAAAGCAAACTTGAAAAGCCTATTAATAAATCCAAGGGAATTAACAACAAAATTATTGAGGGGACAATTTGAAAACTATTGACGTCATTAATAATGAAAGATTTCGCCTTCTTTCCAGTAGACATATCCATCATTATGATCTGTTTCAATTTTGGCACACCCCTTCCTCCCCTTATTTTCCCCAGCCGAAATTTTTGTCCTAGATCAGTGGTTCTCAACCTTCCTAATGCCGCGACCCTTTAATAAAGTTCCCCGTGTTGTGATGGCCCTCGAAAATAGAACTATTTTCGTCGCTACTTCATAAATTTTGTGTTTTCCTATGGTCTCGGGCGAACCCTGTGTAAAGAGGTGGTCGATCTCCAAAGGGGTCACGACCCACAGGTCGAGAACCGATGTCCTAGTACATTTTTAAAAGGCATTAGCCTAATACACAGGCAATATGTTCAATAAACGCACTTGAGCTATTTTAAATAAAGGGTTGCTCCCCCCCCCCCCCATCCACTGGATAACGTGAAGCTCTAACGATGCAGACTGGCAAATATACTAAGATGTTGTGTAGGACCCCAGTCCAAGGCAGGCCCTGCTTGTCTTCAGGGCCGGCCCTAACAATTGCTGGGCCCTATGCAAAACGGATTGCCCGGGGCCCAGTCTGGGTAGGGATAAGGATTAATAAGTGAAAATTAAGATTTTGTATTAGAAAATAAAGTGCGGGGGCCCACTGCGGCCGCATAGGTTGCAGTGGCCTAAGGCTGACCCTGCTTGTCTTCTCACTCCAATGCAAGGATTAGGTCTGGGTAATCATTTTTTTTTTAATAAAAAT